TAATGATTCTGAAATTGTAATTTTATATAGGGTTGTGGTAGTTTTAGAAAGAGATTTTAGATTATGGTAGTTTTGGAAAAAAAAGTTTTTAAAATATGGTATTGATCATAATTTTCTCTTAAGAATAAATCAGAAACAAATAAAATAATTTTCNATNAACAATTATGACATATATATTCATATTAATGATTCTGAAATTGTAATTTTATATAGGGTTGTGGTAGTTTTAGAAAGAGATTTTAGATTATGGTAGTTTTGGAAAGAATCTTTTGAAATATGGTATTGATCATAATTTTCTCTTAAGAATAAATCACAAAGAAATAAAATAATTTTCTATAAACAATTATGACATATATATTCATATTAATGATTATGATATGCAATAAATATTCATTAGCACGGGTACTTCTAGTTATATTGACGAGACCAATGGAAAAAACAGCTCTAAACTAAAACGAGCAAAGACTCAAAGAAGACTAAAAAAAATCCAAAGTATTCGTACGGCAATGGCGACGGAGACCGTGGCGACGACGACACCAATGGATGAGATAATGAAGCCACGTACGGACAAGAGAGAGTATCGAAGGATAGTTCTAAAAAATTCTCTCCAAGTCTTGTTAATCAGCGACCCAGAAACTGACAAGGTAAGAATGGATTCCTGTTTATAAGAAAGAAAATGTACAAAAGCTGAAGATTCGACTTTGTTGGTGTCCCGTTGTTAGTGTGCTGCTTCAATGAATGTTAGCATCGGATCGTTTTCTAACCCAGAAGGATTAGAAGGGCTAGCTCATTTCCTTGGTACTGCTTTTTTATTCATATGAGCTTTATAGTCAACTCTGTTTTTATCTATCAAATCTTTCATGTAAAATCAAAGTCGATTTTTAATGTGATTGACAAGTAACATGTGATTTTGTGTTTTTGGTTTATGGTTCAAGAGCATATGCTCTTTTATGCAAGTGAAAAATATCCAGTGGAAAATAGTTACGACAAGTACATCGCAGAGGTAATGTTCATAAAAATAAACAGTCAATTATAATTGATGTTCTTGCATGTGCTTATTGGGAATATATGTGTGTTTGTAGCATGGTGGGAGCACAAATGCGTATACATCCGATGAAGATACAAACTTCTATTTGGATATCAACACGGATTCTTTTGATGAGGCTTTAGACAGGTACGTACGTACGCTTAC